ATCTGTTTCTGTACCAGTACCATGCTGTTTTGATTACAACTGCCCTGTAGTATGCCCTGAAATCTGGTATTATGATGCCTCCAGCTTTGTTCTTTTTGTACAAGATTGCTTTAGCTACTCGAGGTCTCCTGTGTCTCCATATGAATTTCAGCATCATTTTTTCCAGATCTGAGAAGAATGTCTTTGGTATTTTGATTGGTATCTCATTGAATCTATAAAATGCTTTTGGGAGAATGGACATTTTGATGATATTGATTCTTCCAATCCATGAACATGGACGATTTTTCCATTTTTTGGTATCCTCTTCTATTTCCTTCTTTAAGGTTTTGTAATTTTCATCATAGAAATCTTTAACGTCCTTGGTTAAGTTTATTCCAAGGTATTTGATTTTTTTTGTGACTATTGAATGGGATTGATCTTAGAAGTTCTTCCTCAGCCGTGGCATTGCTTTTTTGTGCATTGATTTTATATCCTGATACTTTGCCAAACTCTTCTACTCTTAGTAGAGTCTTTGGATTCCCTAAATAAAGAATCATATCATCTGCAAAGAGGGATAGTTTGAGTTCTTCCTTCCCAATTTGTGTCCCTTTAATTTCTTTTTCTTGCCTAATAGCTCTGGCTAAAACTTTCAGAACTATATTGAATAGCAGTGGTGAGAGTGGGCATCCCTGTCTGGTACCAGATCTCAGTGGAAATGCTTCCAACTTTTCCCCATTCAATAGGATGCTGGACGTGGGTTTTTCATAGATTGCTTTGATTGTATTGAGGAATGTTCCGTCTATACCCAGTTTGCTTACAGTTTTCATCATGAAAGGGTATTGTATTTTATCAAATGCTTTCTCTGCATCTATCGAGATAATCATATAGTTTTTCTTCTGCAGTCTGTTAATGTGGCATATCACATTGATTGTTTTGCACACATTGAACCATCCCTGCATACCAGGGATAAATCCCACTTGGTCTGGGTGGATGATCTTTCTGATGTGTTGTTGCATTCTATTGGCGAGAATTTTATTGAGGATTTTTGCATCTATGTTCATCAGGGATATTGGTCTGTAATTCTCTTTCAGTGCTGCATCTTTTTCTGGCTTAGGAATTAAGGTGATGCTGGCTTCATAGAATTTGGGGGGATTCCCTCTTTTTTGATTGTTCTGAATAGTTTGAGAAGAATTGGAGTTAGCTCTTCTTTAAATGTCTGGTAGAATTCAGCAGTGAATCCATCTGGTCCTGGGCTTTACTTTGTTGGGAGGGCCTTTATTACTGTTTCAATTTCTGAATCAGTTATGAGTCTGTTTAGGTTTTCTATGTCTTTCTGGTTCAATTTAGGTAGGTTGCATGTGTCCAAGAATCTGTCCATTTGTGATAATTTGCCCTGTTTGCTGGCATACAAGTCCTTGTAGTAATTTCTGATGATTCTTTTTATTTCTGTGGTGTCTGTTGTTACATTTCCTTTTTCATCTCTGATTTTATTGATTTGAGTCTTTTCTTTTTTAGTTAGTTGGGCCAATGGGGTGTTAATTTTGTTTACTTTTTCAAAAAGCCAGCTCCTCGTTTGGCTGATTTTTTGTTTTTGGTTTTGTTTTTGTTTTTGTTTTTGTTTTTTTTTTGATTCAATCCTATTGATTTCTTCTCTGATTTTAATTATTTCTCTTCTCCTACTAGATTTGGGTCTGGTTTGCTGTAGGTTTTCTAGATCCTTGAGATGCATTGAAAGCTCATTTATTTGGTGCCTTTCCAATTTCTTGATGTAGGCACCTATTGATATAAACTTTCCTCTTAACACTGCTTTTGCTGTATCCCATAAGTTTTGGTATATTGTGCTGTTAATCCTCATTTACTTCCAGGAAGTTTTTGATTTCTCTTTTAATTTCTTCTATGACCCATTGTTCATTCAGGAGCATGTTGTTCAATCTCCATGTGTTTGTGTATGCTCTAGGGATTCCTGAGTTGCTAATTTCCAACTTCATTCCTTTATGATCTGAGAAGCTGCATGGTATGATTCTAATTCTTTTGAATTTGCTGAGACTTGCTTTATGGCCTTGTATTTGGTCAGTCTTAAATTAGGTTCCATGTACTGCTGAGAATAATGTAAATTCTTTATGTGTAGGATGAAAAGTTCTGTAGATATCTGTTAGATCCATTTGGGCTATAGTGTCATTTAAATCTACTGTATCCTTGTTGATCTTCTGTCCTGTGGATCTGTCTATTTCTGAGAGTGGAGTATTGAAGTCCCCCAGTACTATTGTGTTGGAGTCTAATTCTCCCTTAAGTCCCTTAACAAATCTTTTAAATAAACCAGTGCCCTGTAATTAGGTGCATATACATTGATAATCATTATATCTTCCTGTTGAATTGATCCCTTAATCATTATATAGTGCCCCTCTTTGTGTCTCTTCACAGTTTTTGTGTTAAAGTTTGTCTGATATTAGGATGGCTACGCCCACTCTTTTTTCATTTCTGTTGGCATGGTGTATCTATTTCCAGCCTTTCACTTTCAGTCTGTATGGATCTTTGTTGGAAAGATGTTTCTTGTTAGCAGCAAATAGATGGGTTTTGTTCCTTAACCCATTCAGCCAATCTGCGTCTTCTAACTGGAGAGTTGAGACCATTAATGTTCAATTTGACTATTGATAAGTAGTAAATTTGCCCTGCCATTTCCCAAAGTTGTCTCCTAATATATGCTTTGAACTTCCTGTGATCTTTTGCTGTGAGGTTTTCTTCCTTTTCTTCTTTCATATTGATGACCGTGTTTCTGTGTTTCTGTGTGTAACACATCTTTAAGCATCTTTTTCAGGGCTGGACGAGTGGCAACAAATTCTTTCAATTTCTGTTTGCTATGAAAGGTTTTTATTTCACTTTCATTCACAAATGAGAGCTTTTCAGGATTTAATATTATGGGGTGGCAGTTTTTCTCTCTTAGTACCTGGGCTATGTCTCGCCATTCCCTTCTAGCCTGTAGGGGTTCTGATGAGAAGTCTGCTGTGAGTCTAATTGGAGATCCTCTGAGAGTAATCTGACATTTCTCTCTTGCACATTTTAGAATATTTTCTTTATGGTTCACTGTGGTGAGTTTGATTACAAAGTGTCGTGGTGAGGATCTCTTTTGGTCATGTTTATTAGGGGTTCTATGAGCTTCCTGTACTAGGATGTCTCTGTCCTTCTCCAAACCCGGGAAGTTCTCTGCTAGCATGTCACTAAAAAGGCCTTCTAATCCTTTCTCTCTCTCCATGCCTGCAGGAACTCCTAGAACCCGAATGTTGGGTTTTTTAATAGTATCCTGCAGATTCCTGACAATATGTTTTAGATTTCTAATTTCCTCTACTTTTCTTTGGTTTGACTTTGTACTTTCCTGTGCTCTGTCTTCTAAGTCGATATTCTCTCTTCTGCTTCACCCATTCTGTTTTTAAGGCTCTCTAATGTGTTTGTCATTTGATGTATTGAGTTCTTCATTTCATTTTGATTTCTCTTCACTATCACACTTTCCTGTTCTACTAGTTTCTGCGTTTTATTTTGATTCCTCCTTAAGATTTCATTTTCATGAGAGAGATTTTCTGTCCTGTCCAGTAAGGATTTCTGTAGCTCAAGCATTTGTTTTTGAAAACTTGTAAATGTTCTTATCATAATTTTTTTTAACTTTTATTTAATGAATATAAATTTCCAAAGTACGACTTATGGATTACAATGGCTTCCCCCCCATACCGTCCCTCCCACCCACAACCCTCCCCTTTCTCACTCCCTCTCCCCTTCCATTCACATCAAGATTCATTTTCGTTTCTCTTTATATACAGAAAATCAGTTTAGCATACATTAAGTAAAGATTTCAACAGTTTGCTCCCACACAGAAACATAAAGTGAAAAATACTGTTTGAGTACTAGTTATAGCATTAAATCTCAATGCACAGCACACTAAGGACAAAGATCCTACATGAGGAGTAAGTGCACAGTGACTCCTGTTGTTGACTTAACAAATTGACACTCTTGTTTATGGCATCAGTAATCACCCTAGGCTTTTGTCATGAGCTGCCAAGGCTATGGAAGCCCCCTGAGTTCACTGACTCTGATCATATTTAGACAAGGCCATGGTCAAAGTGGAAGTTCTCTCCTCCCTTCAGAGAAAGGTACCTCCTTCTTTGATGACCCATTCTTTCCACTGGGATCTCACTCGCAGAGATCTTTCATTTAGGTTTTTTTTTTTTTTTTTCCCCAGAGTGTCTTGGCTTTCCATGCCTGAAATACTCTCATGGGCATTTCAGCCAGATCTGCATGCCTTAAGGGCTGATTCTGAGGCCAGAGTGCTGTTAGGACATTTGCCATTCTATGGGTCTGCTGTGTATCTCACTTCCCATGTTGGATCATTCTCTCCCTTTTTGATTCTATCAGCTAGTATTTGCAGACACTATTCTTGTTTATGTGATCCCTTTGGTTCTTAGTCCTATCATTATGATCAATTGTGAACAGAAATTGATCACTGGGACTAGTGAGATGGCATTGGTACATGCCACCTCGATGGGCTTGAATTCGAATCTCCTGGTATGTTTCTAACTCCACCGTTTGAGGCAAGTCAGCTTGAGCATGTCCTGAATTGCACATCTCTTATCATAAATTTTTAAAATCTGTATCTTGCATTTTTTCCATCTCATCATCATAATCTTGGCTTAGGGTGTCTTGTTCATTTAGGGGTGTCATAATGTCTTCCTTGTTCTTGTTTCCTTGGTTTCTGTGTTTTGCTTTGCATTGTGGAGATATTCTTTGGATTCTTCTTCCCTCGCTGTGGTGTTTTTTTTTTCTTGTTATATTATGACTGTATTAAGTGGACTGTCTGCTTTTGATGGAACCTTAGAGGCTTGAGATGGGTGTGGCCAGAGAGCTCTGTTTGGTTCCTCAGGGTTAAGGGTTTGCCAAAGGTGGCACTCCCAGGTTAGGCATGGTAAATCTCTCTCTCTCTCTCTGTTTTTTTTTTTTTTTTTTTTTCAGAAAGGAAGTAATTCCGCGCAGCTGAGTGGAATTGAAGGTAGTCAGCTTCAAATCTGTGGCTCCTGTGGGTATAACATTCACCTGCTCTTTCCCAAGGACCACACAGGGAATCTGTTCTGCCCTCAGTGTGGGCTCAAATTCTTCTGCAGTCTCCCACTGGGTTGCCAAGGTTACTGAATGTAGCATCTCTGGAGAGTACTCACGTTAACTCTGTGAGTTCTCTCACCCACTGTCTCTTTTTTCACAGTCTCATTTCATTAGCTCCACACATTTACTAGGTCCTAATCTCCTGTCATTTCACCCCCCAGAGTTAGGATTTTGCTTGGCTGAGGGTGGGCGCAGCCCTTAGGTTGTGCAGCTTTTAAATATGTCCAAAATGGTGCCTGCTCTTTGTCTTGCTTGCCTTTGGGAGGTGAGTGGAGAGAGAGAAACTCGTGTCCATACTGGTCCCTTTTGTTGTCCTCTCTCCTCTAGTTAGCCTGGTGAACTTTCCCCCATGGGGCTTCATGCCTCCTTCCCTCTAGGCTCCTCCTTCCACTTTCCTGCTGATGTCTCGGGCTACTGAGGTTTGGCTCATCTCATGTTCTAGCGCTGGTGCGTAGATTCCGACACTGGTATCCTGCGCTGTGGGCTCCCATGCCCTCCACACAGGTCCACCATGAACCACTAGTTGCAGAAGAGTTTCCTCTGCTGTTTCTTCCCCAACTCTTCCTTGAACCTGCAGTATCTCCACTTTTATTAAACTGATTCTTCCCGGACTATCAGTGTGCTCCCTTCCTATTCCGCCATCTTGCCACTTCCCCCAATTCTTACTTTCTTATTAAAATCACAGACTGTCAAAAATCAGAGAGATGACTATATTACACACCATGAATTACTTTCCATTCAAATCTTGAATCCATATTATATATATATGTGTGTGTGTGTGTGTGTGTGTGTGTGTGGTGTATACATACATAATATGACCTTGGTAAAATTATCAAATCTTGTATGGTTCATCTTTAAGGTATGGATGGAAAATAATCAGAAAGTTATTGTGCTTGCCTTATAAGACTGCTGTAAGAACACATGAAAATATAGTTATTTTTCAGATCTAAATGACTGTACATTTTAAAGCACAATTGATTGACAGTATTATTGAATAATATATTAACTACTAGTGAAAATAAAAATATTTCTCACTGTTGGTATACAGTGAGTTTATTTTTCTGGTGAAAAGGGCCATGACTGAAATTTGAACATATTAATTGCTATGCTGCATTTCTGTAGATTTGCAAGAGACTTATTCTATGTATATAAACTGGTCAAATAATGGTCAGAAGGAGCCACCATCTTTCTGATGCCGTTTTAAATTTGACTGCATTATGTCTGTTTAGCATATTTGTTGTAACATTGATATGCATTTTTATGAGAAAATATAGTTATCTGGATAGCTTAGGCCTCCAAATCTCTTTAATAACTAAAATATCAAGTCATAAAAAAATCTTGCTTTGGTAATTAAGCATGCATTTTCATTTACAGCCTCTTTTTTCCATGTATTTCCATACAAGAAAAGGTTTATTTAATGACTAAGCAAAGAAATGAGGATTAAAAATCTAGGTTAAAAATCTAGATTTAAAAAGCCCTTAAATTTAAGTGAAACTATACTAATGTATTATTTAAAAAGTAGAGAAAGAGCTGCCATCTCAAAAATACTTCTGCTAATACTAGTGCATAGAATTCAAATTTCTGCCTGCTAGAGAAGTCTTGTTGAGTTAAAGTATTTCTTCAAAAAGCTGTATTTAATTCTCCAATTAGCACAAAATTTTATATTAATTCATTATATTCCTTACATGAAAAATGACTATTAATATCTACTGTATTCCAAACTCAAAATTGACATGCTATGTGCTTCACCCTTGTTTTTACAGCATTGGGAATGTACAGACACTTACACCAAGATTGCAGTAAGGGGTAGTTAGTCCTCGAGTTGTAGTTCTAAGAAGGGAAAGTGACTGACATTGCTGCAAGGGTCACAAACACTCTTGTAGAGGTGACTGTTGTTCAAGGTTTTGTCTCGGGAAATGGAATATGTGTTCAAAGGCATTGAAGCATGAAAGCGCACATGCACTGTTTTTGGGAAATGGCAAGTAGTTCAGAGTGCTGCAGCTCAGAATTCTTGATGTGAGTAAAATAGATGAATAAGAATCTTATTTAATCAAATGGACCATAAGAACCAATGAAGGGATCATTCAGGCATGACTTGATCAGTTTTGCATTTTAGGACATCATTTTGGCAGCACAGTTATCTGATTCGCTGATCTGATAGGATAGGGACATCCTGGGAAGGCCCATGGGCAGGTGCTGTGGGAACAAATACACAGAGGCTGACTACTTGGAGTGAAAAAGAAAGCTCCCCACACTTGTGAGAAAATCTTTTCTCTAATAAACAACCCTTCCCCAATGTCATTTCTTTTACGCCATCATCCCAAAAGACTAATTTCAGTAGACACCTCCTCCAGTAGACACCTTCCCCCAGATTCACTCATGAATTCCTTGTCCTTCTCTTGTGCTTGCATGTGATGATTCTGTGGAATTTGGATTCCAAGTTTTAACAGTGATTGAAACCCTGAAAATCCATAGGCTTTAGTAAATTTTTACACAATTTTTAATTTTTTTCTTTCATTTTATTTGAAAGAAGGGCAGGCACAGAACGACATAGAAAGATCTTTCATCTGCTGGCTTACAACCCAACTGCCTGCAACATCATCTGAGCCTCCTTCATGGTGGCAGAGATGCAGGTATTTGTCCTATCACCTGCTAGCTCCCAAAGTGTGCATTAACATGAAGCTGGGTTGGAAACAGAGGAGGTGGGACTCAGACCAGACCATCAGATATGGGATATAGGTGTCAAAAGCAATCTCATAGCCACTGTGTCACATGCCTACCCCAGATTTCAGGGCTTTCAGGACAATGAACAAAAATTAGTCACCAAGGAGATAAACATGTCCAATACCCACCCAGCCTTCCTACCTCAATTTAACATTAATTAAAGAATCCATTGTTACTCAAGCAATATAATAACTACAAAAAAGCATTTTTAAAAAATAAAAAAAAGAAAACAAACAAAAAACATTCTGGTATTATTAAAATATGAAACACCCTATTGCCACCGAGAGGAAAAAAAGACTCTCATACAGTTTTGGTAATTTTATGTTAACATGAACGTGAATGTTTATTCTTTCAATTTGGGGAAATTTTCTGCATTTCTAATACACAAATTAAGCAGACAAATTCATAAGGGAACTAGATTAGACGGTTCTTAACAGAAAAGAGGTGGTGTTCTCTGGTCCATTATTCTGAGTTATACTTTCACTAACACTTCACCAATATTTGCAGTTTATACTTCCTCAATATTTAATGTTCTAGAAAATTATGCACATAATCTAAGGAAAAGTTACCAAACACCTATTGCTTGTCAGCGGTATACAAGACTCCAGAGATACAATTCTGTACTAAAACAAATAGCACCCTATGTATATTCTAAGAGATCACAAATTTGTTAGATAAATCACCCATGTTAGTAAATAATTAAAACTATAGATGTTGAAGAAATTAAACATGGTTGTTTTGTACAGTTTTTAATTCTAGGTTCTTTAGAGAAGGAAAATGCTTCTTCAATACCAAGATTTTTTTCCTGATTATGCACTAAATACATTTCAAGGTAATTACCTATTCAACCACTTGAAGGTCCCACTCTCCACCTCCCGTGACTAGATAGAACTGATAGACAGAAACCCAAAAACTTTCTGATTTCTGTTACTGTTATTATTATTTTCGCTATTGTTTTGTTTAATTTTACCAACATTTATTCAGCCTTTTAAATTAATAATAAAAATTTTATATATTTGTAGTGTTCAAATAATATCCTAAAACATATTGTGGAAACATTGAGCTAACTAACATACTTTACCTCATATGCTTATTATTTTACTCTGTTGCAAATTTTCAAGTATATAATGCATTATTATTAACTATGGTCACCACATTATAAAATAAATTTCTTAAATTTATTTTAACAAATTTTGTACACTTTTAGTAAACTGGCCCACTCGAAACTTCACTCCCATCCCAGCCCCTGCTAACCACCATTCAAAAAGTTCAACTTTTTGAAGTTCTATGAATGGGAGTGAGATCATGTAGTATTGTTTTTTTCTGTGCCTGGCTTGTTTAACCTAGGGTAATTCCTCCAGGTTTTCAATGTTATCACAAGCGACAGGATTTCCTTCTTTTATTTAAGGCTGAAGGATAGTCCATTATGTATATGTATTATATTTCTTTCTCCATTCATCCATTGATGGATACTTAGTTTGGCTCCATATTTTGGCTATTGTGAACACTGCTGCAATGAGATGGGACTGTAAATATTTCTTCAACCTAATTTATTTCAGTTCCCCTATGTATACACCTAATGGTGAGATAGCTGAATTATAGAGTAGTTCTAGTTTTAATGTTGAGAAACCTTCATACTTCTTTCCACTGTGGCTATACTGATGTATATTTCCACCAACAATGTGCAAAATTTAATTTGCCTCCACAGCTTCTCTAATACTTATCTTTTTGGTTTTTTGCTAATAGCCTGACAGGTGTGAGGTGGTGTCTCCTGTTTTTTATTTGAATTTCTGTGATGATAGAGACATTGAGTTTTTTCTCATACATCTATTATCCATTTGTATGAGTACCTTCTTATGAGAAATGTTTATTCATGCCCTTTCCCCATTTTAAAATTTATATGAGAGAGAGAGAAAGAGAGAGACATAGAGAGGGAGAGAGAGAGAGAGAGAGAGAGAGAGAGACTGATTCTATGCAAGTTCATTCCCCAATTGCCTGCAATAGCCAGAGCTGGGACAAGCTGAAGCTAGGAAACACTAACTCAAATCAGATCTCTCCTGTGTGTGTGTGTGTGTCAGAGACCCAACAACTTGAGCCATCACCTGCTACCTCCCAGGGCATGCTTTAACAGGAAGCTGAATTTGGAAGTAGAGGTGGGAACTTGAACCCAGGCACTGTGAAATGTGCTGTGAGTGACCCAAGAGACCGTTCAACCACTGTGCCAAATGCCAGCCCTTTTTGTTAATTTTTAAAGTGGATTACTTTTTATTTTGCTATTGAGTTGCTTTAATTCCACACATATTTAAAATACTGATCACTTATCAGACCAATTTTACAAATCTTTTCTCTCATTCTGTAGGATGACTTTTATTTTGTTGATCATTTGCTTGCTGTGCAAGAATTTTATAGTTTGTTTGTCATCCCATTTGTCTATTTTTACTTTTGTTGCTTGTGTCATTCAGATCCTATCCAAGAAATCATTGCCCAGACAAATGTCATGCAGCTTTGCCTCTGTGTTTCTGGCTTTCAAAGGGATACTGGAACACTCTTTTTGTTTTTTGTTTGTTTGTTTTTGTGGATACATACTGCCCAGGGAATCCTCAGCTCGAGTGACAAGTGACAAAGATGAATCTATGAACAGAATCCTTAGTTAAACTGAAGAAAGCCACATTCAACCAAGGGGTGACATATCCTGTGTTTTCAGTTTGAAGTTCAAAGATCATCAATTGTCTTTTAGCTACCTCAGGTATTATGAAGAAAGTTTCCACGACTGAGTTAATATTTTCCAATTAAAATGTTTAAATAAAAAATAGTTGTTGTGGCTAATCATCTCATGTAAAACTCAGATTAAACCTCTAGGCATTTATATGGATAAGCTGAAGTATGTTGGCAGTGAACTGACACTCTCCACGGTTCCCCCAGATTCTTTTATTTTCCTTGGCTAACTTTGCAACTTGGTAAACTGCAACCAGACTCCCATAAAAAGAGATGAAGACTTTGACTTTTCTTACCTTTGCTGCCGTTTGCATTTCTCCACTCAGCTTATAGAAATGAAATCTATTACTCGGCAGGCACTGCTTACACAAATGAAAGATAAATTTTTCTTCGAGATGGGAGATCAGTGAGACTCATAAAATATTAATGATGAAAGCTCTGGGAATTAGATGTATCCCTGACCATAGGTTTACATTGACAGTGAAGCACAATCAGTTTAACCAATTTTTTTTTCCGTGTAAGATTTCCATCCACAATGATGTGAAGGAAAAAGAATACATGACTTAAGATTCATATGAGCATAGATTTTCTGGAACGGTGATCTTTCTTTTCTTTTCTTCATGTTCTTGGTTCCTTAACAGCAGTGCGTTTTGCTGAGTGCTGTAGTGTGGTCGATTTCATTCTTGAAGTTCTTCATGTGCTCATGCAGAAGACTGCCAGGGAGTAATGCAAGAGGTACACATTTCTTATTATTTATATTAGCATACCATGCACAGGCAGTATGGCAAGAGGTAGCAATAGCTGACATTTATGCAATTAAAGCAATTCATTTTTCCAAAAATGAAGATCCCAGTGGTATTCATGAAGGTCTTCACTTTCACTTCTTCATATTTTGTTATCCTGCAAACATTTCCATAGCCATTAGAACTCTTTAATGCTTTTTCAATTATGATTTCTATAAAATGCTAGGCCATTTACAATGACTCTGAAGTTATTTCAACATCTTTTTCATTTTAGACATATATAAAGTTTACATTTATTTAATCTAAATATGTCAGAAACACATAATTCTGTTTTTATGGAAACTAATAAATTTTACCATACTTATGTTATATATTAATATAATATATTTAAATAGATATGTACAGATGTTTAATTTGGGATATTAGCAGTTTATTAGAAATCATAAAATAATGCCATTATTTTATAGAAGTATCTATAGAAAATATATCTCCAAGTACATTCTCCAAATGCCTGCAATAGCCGGAGCTGGGACAAGCTGAAGCTAGGAAACACTAACTCAAATCAGATTTCCCCTGTGTGTGTGTGTCAGAGACCCAACAACTTGAGCCATCACCTGCTACCTCCCAGGGCATGCTTTAACAGGAAGCTGAATTTGGAAGTAGAGGGGGGAACTTGAACCCAGGCACTGTGAAATGTGCTGTGAGTGACCCAAGAGACCATTCAACCACGGATTTTTAAAATCCAGAAATATTTTATATTAATGTAACTAATTGTTAGACTAATATAATATACATGTATCAAAATACTTTTTAATTATGTTGGAGAATAGAAGTGTACAAGATCAGCCATTGATCATGATAATGCCTCTGAAAGGAGAAAAATAGTTGGGGGATCAGTGCCATGGAGCAGTAGGTTAATCTTCCACCTGTGGCGCTGGCTTCCCATATGGGCACCAGTTCTACTCCTGGCTGCTCCTCTTCCGATCCAACTCTGCTGTGGCCTGGGAAAGCAGTAGAAGATGGCCCAAGTCCTTGGGCCCCTGCACCCACAAGGGAGACTGGGAAGAAGCACCTGACTCCTGGCTTCGGATTGGTGCAGCTCCAGTTGTCGCAGCCATTTGGGGAGTGAACCAGCAGACAGAAGGCCTTTCTCTCTGTCTCTCTCATACTGTCTGTAACTCTACTTCTCAAATAAATAAATAAAATGTTAAAAAAAAGAAGAAGAAGAAAAATACTTGAGGCCGGTGTTGTAATGTTGCATGTAAAGTCTCTTCCCGCAATGCCAGCATCCCATACAGCTGCCTGTTTGAGTCCTGGCTGCTCTACTTCCAATCCAAACCCCTGTATGTGGCCTTGGAAAAACAGTGAGAGTGAAAGATGTCCCATGTATTTAGGCCTCTGACACCCATGTGGGAGACCCAGATAAAAGCTCCTGGCTCCTGACTTCAATATGGTCCAGCACTGGCAGTTGTGGCCATCTGGGGAGTGAGCTAGAAGATGGAAGATCTCTCTCTCTCTCTCTTTCTCTCTCTCTGTCTCCCTTTCTCTTTTTGTAACACTTTCAAATAAATACATAAATATTTTTAAAAATAAGAACACCTAAAACTTAAGTAAAACAGCTAAATTCTGTTTTATAATTTTGAATCACAGTGAATATTTCACCTAATGTAATATAAATAATCATAAAAATTAAAATTTTCATTCATATATTCTATCTCTCTAGAACTTACAATAATTTTAGCTTTTGCTATAAGATATTGATAAAATCTGATTTAATTTGAGGAAATTCTGTAAATTTAAGTAAATATCATGTTTTATATGTATCTCTTACTGTTATACTCCTATGATAGTCTCCTCAATATAAGTAAAAAATGATCATCCAAATACAATATTCACAAACCATGTATTTGTTCCTAAGTCTTGTACCTGCAGTGTATTCAAGCTTCCAATAGAGGATATGGATAGAATTTTAAGTCCATAGATTGCATTTTGTTAGTTTTTAGGAAACCCATGGACATGGAGGACTGGAGGACATGTTGAGTGAAATAAGCTGGACCCAGAAAGACAAATACTGTGCATGTGGTAGCTAAAGCTTAAAAAACACATATAAAAAGCAAACATAAAAGAAATGCCTATGTGCATCAGTAAGCCTGCAAATATAGTTTCATAAAACTTTGTTTTATAGACACACACCCACCCCCAACAAAGAAAATCCCAGGATAGTTTGGCTTCACTGCTGAATTCTACCAGACAGTTAAAGAACTAATTCCAATTCTTCTCAAGCTATTCAAAACAATTAAAAGGGAAGGAATGTTCCCAAACTCCTTCTACAAAGCCAGCAACACCTTATTCCTAGACCAGAAAAAGATACAGAGAAAGAGAACTATAGACCAATATCCCTGATGAATATAGATGTAAAAATACACAACAAAATACAAGCTAGTCAAATCCAACAATGCATCAGAAAGATCATTCACCTGGACCAAGTGGGATTTATCCCTTGTAGAGAGGGATGGTTGAACATTTGCAAATCAATAAATTTAATACATCACTTTAACAAAATAAAGAACAAAAGCCTCATGTTTATCTCAATATATACAGAGATAGCATTTGACAAAATACAGCATCTTTTCACATTGAAAAACTTATGCAAGTTGGATATAGAATGAACATTCTTCAATACAACCAAGGCAATTTATGACAAACCCACAGCCAGCATCTTATTATATGGGGAAAAGTTGGAAGCACTCCCATTAAGATTGAGAACCAGACAGGGATGTCCACTATCACCATTGCCATTCAATATAGTCTTGGAAGTTTTAGCCGGAGCCATTAGGCAAGAAAGATAAATCAAAGGGATACGAATCAGAAAGGAGGAAGTCAAACTATCCCTATTTGCAGATTACATGATTGTATATATAGGGGATCCAAAAGACTCTACTAAGAGACTATTGAAACTCATAAAAAAGTTTAATAATGTCTAACATACAAAAGTTAATAGCCTTTGAATACACAGACAATGTCATGTCTAAGAAAAAATTTCTAAGATCAATCCTATTCACAATAGCTACAAAAACAAAGTTAATCAAGGGCATCAAATATCTCACAATGAAAATTATAAAATATTCGAGAAAGTAATAGAACAAGACTTAAAAAATAGAAAAATCTTCCATGTTCATGTATTGGGAGAATCAATATCAGGAAAATATCCATACTGCCAAAAGCAATTTACAGTTCGGTGTGATCCCAATCAAAACACCAAAAACGTTCTTCTCAGATCTAGAAAAAAATGATGCTAAGTTTCGTATTGCAATACAAGAAATCCAAAACAGCTAAAGAAATATTATACAACAAAAAAAGCTGGAAATATCACAATACTGGATTTCAAGACATATTACAGGGCCATTATAATCGAAACAGCCTGGTAGTGGCACAAAAACAAACTTGTAGACCACTGGAACATAATATAAACTCCAGAAATCAGTCCACACCTATGACCAACTAATCTTTCACAAAGGAGCTTAAATCAGTTTCTGGAGTGTGGACAATCTTCAACAAATGGTGCTGAGAAAACTGGATCTGTGCATTCAGAAGTATGAAACAAGACTCCTACCTTACACCTTACAAAAAAATTCACTCAAAATGGATCAAAGACCTAAATCTATGACCTAATACCATCACATTACTAGAGAACATTGGGGGAACAATGCATTGGAGAAAGAAGGCTTTGGCATAGGCAAACACTTCTGGGAAAACACCCCAAGCAATCAAAGCCAAAATTGACAAATAGGATTACATCAAGCTGTGAAGCTTCTGCACTGAAATACTGTTTCTGCAAAGAGACTCTCAGCAAAGTGAAGCAGCAACCAACAGAATGGGAGAAAATATTTGCAAACTATGCATCTGATAAGGGATTAATAGCCAGAATATATAAAGAGCTCAAGAAATTCAACAACAACAAAAGAAATTATTCAGTGAAGAAATGGGCAAAGGACTTGAACAGACTTTTTCAAGAGAGGAAATTCAAATGGCCAACAGACACTTGAAAAAAATGCTCATAAAGAAATGCACATCAGAACCACAATGAAGCTTCCCTTTACCCCGTTAGAATGGCTTTCATACAGAAATCAACAAGCAACAAATGCTGGTGAAGATTTGGGGGAAAGGGTGCCCTAATCCACTGTTGGCAGGAATGTAAACTGGTGCAGCCACTGTGAAAGTATGAAGATCCCTCAGAAATCGGAATATAGACCTACTGTAGGATCCAGCCATCCCACTCCTGCAAATTTACCCAAACCAAACGAAATCAGCATATAAAAGCATTATCTGTACCCCCATGTTCCTTGCAGCTCAATTCACAGTAGCCAAGATAATCAGCCCAAATGTCCACCAACTAATGACTGGATAAAGAAATTATGGTAGAAAGTAAATATATATACACTATAGAGTACTACTCAGTTGTTTAAAAAAAATGAAATCCTGTCTTTTGCACAAAATGGGCACAACTGGAAACCATTTACTTAGTGAAATTAGCCAGTCCCCAAGAGACAGATATCATAGGTTTTTCCTGATCTGGAACAACTAATAGACCACCAAAAATGTAATGTATTGGAGTGAAATGGACATTTTAGATTTAAACATTTTGAACAGCCTTTGTCTCTTCTGTTGAGGAGCAGTTTTTTTTTTTTTTCTTTATACTATTTGATGAACTCTTTGCTTAGTGTAGCGTTAACCTTACAAATACTAAGTTAACTGAAAATAGGTCTTTGTAAAAGTTAAGAGTGGAAATAGGAGAGGGAGGAGGAAGAAGGTTTGGAGCATGGGTGCAAGGGAGGGTAGAGTGGGAAGTATCACTATGTTCCTAAATCTGCATATATGAAATACAGGAAAATTATATAACTTAGACAAACTTAAAAAATAACTGTTTTATAACGATGTTAAACCACTGCTTTATAATTTTTTAAAGATTTATTTTATTTTATTTTATTTATTTTAAAGACAGAGTTACAGAGAGAGGTAGAGACAGAGAGAGAGGTCTTCCATCTGATGGTTCACTCCCAGATGGCCGCAATGGCCAGAGCTGAGCCAATCCCAAGCCAGGAGCCAGAAGCTTCTTCTGGGTCTCCCACGTGGGTGCAGGTCCTTGGGCCATCTTCTACTGCTTTCCCAGGCCATAGCAGAGAGCTGGGTCGGAAGAGGAGCAGCTGGAACTAAAATTGGCGCCCATATGGGATGCCAGCACTTCAGGCCAGGGCTTTAACCCACTGCACCACAGCACCAGCCCCTGCTTTAGAATATTATACTACTATAATTTTAATAATCTGTGACTATTTTATTATTTACTGTATATGGGTGAAATGGTTATTTTTCCATTCAATTATTGTTTATAGCCATTGTCTATATTCCCAGTAAACTAGGGTGTTTTGTTTTTTTACTTGTTTTTTTTTGTTTTTTTTTTTTTTGTTTTTTTTTTTTTTTTTTTTTTTTTTTTTTTTTTTTTTTTTTACGGAGTGGACAGTGAGAGAGAGAGAGACAGAGAGAAAGGTCTACCTTTACCGTTGGTTCAATCTCCAATGGCCGCTGTGGCCAGCGCGCTGTGGCGGGTGTACTGCGCTGATCCAAAGCCGGGGAGCCAGGTGCTTCTCCTGGTCTCCCATGCGGGTGCAGGGCCCAAGCACTTGGGCCATCCTCCACTGCACTCCCAGGCCACAACAGAGAGCTGGACTAGAAGAGGGGCAACCAGGACAGAATCCGGCACCCCGACCGGGACTGGAACCTGGTGTGCCGGCGCCGCAAGGCGGAGGATTAGCCTATTGAACCGCGGTGCTGGTGTTTTTACTTGTTAAACTTCTTATTCAGTGAAGTATTAAGCCTTTTTACTCAATTGTCATTTTAAATATGTTATCTCAAAAACTAAAGAAAAAGAGAAAAAGAGTAGGAGGGAGAGGGGGAGGGAGGGAGGGAATCTCATGTTCTTAGAATTGTATTTATAAATCACATTGGATCTGTTGAATTAAAATAAACAATTATATAAAAAGGTACTTCAGTGAATTTAAACTAGTGTTTGAAAATATGCTAAAGATTTTCCTATATGTAAAACAAAAGGAAATCTGTGAGCCATTTTTATAAACTATAAGGTCTGCTGTTAAGATTTGTGTTTTATTTAAAGTCACACCACTTGTAAGCACAAAGAATCAAAAGATACATGTGTGTTACTGCACACTTGGTCTTGAAGGGTGCTGACATTTTAAAAACCAATAGTTTTTCCCAGGTACCTGGTCACCTGATTACCACCAGTAGTGTCAATACCCAATGTGTTCCATCCATTAGATTTGAAAGATAAACTTCATAACCCAAATACTGACTGCCCTGACCTTCAATCCATTTTTGCTACAGACTTCTGCCATTCCCATATCATGCAATCCACAGATGACCTCCTGAAATCCTGGTTCCTTTCTGCCCCTGCCTTAATGACTCGAACGTGTTGTAGGTCCTGGTCTAAATTAGCTGTAATGATGACAGCTCCATATTGAGAATCAGTTTCATTGAAGAGAAAATGCCAAAATGATGACTACTGTTTTAAAATGTCAGCTTCCAGCTGCTACTTTTCTTGTTGTTTCTGGAAGCTACAAAACAAAAGAATCGAGGAGAAACGTGGAAATTCCAGTAAGGAAGTACCAGTGTTGTTAACCACAGACACTGACCACACTACAACTCAGCAGAGATGAGGAAAGTTGAAGAGATGCCAGGAAACCTGGAAAAATCTTTGCCTCAAAAGTATACCACTTTCCACAACTGACTGTGATCTCAAAGTAATAAATGTCTAAGTAACATAAAAATCCAGAAAGTAGTGTTATTGTTTCTCTTTGTAGATACCTAAATAGACCAGAATGACACTGAATTTTTTAAAATTATAAATAGTATTTGTATGTATACTGGGGAAAATAATGAAAATAATTACCTATTTATTCTTCAGGCTACCTTCGGTTAACAAAAATGCACATGATTTTAAAGGCGTACCACTTTAGGGGATTGTCTCCACATATTCATTGTGTTAACAGCTACATGATTTCTGCTGAATACACTTGTTAACATAGTTTGGCAGACATTCAATAACAAACTGTGTTCCAGGCAATGAATTTATAATGTTGTAGCAGGAACAATCTCTGAACGTTGTAAGCCTTTATGTATGATGGAAAAATCAATGACATAAATAGATGTGTAACAAACTAGTCTGCATGTTTTAGGTGAGGTAAAGCTTAGCAATATGGACTGAAGTTACTTTCCAAGGGCAAGCAATCCTATGCCTAAGTAGAAAGTATAAAATAAACTTAAACTTAATTATAAAATTTATTTATAACAGACAAAATTAATGGTAATATTAAAATATAACTACATGTATATCTCTTTATAATATGTTATATAGTATATAATTCAATTAGCTTGACAACTTTTAAAAATTTTTATTTATTTGCAAAACAGATAGAGGAAAAAAACAGAGAGAGAGAGCTGCCATATGTTGACCCACTCCTCAAATGCTGGCAGTGGCAATATGTGGGCCAGGCCAAAGCCAGGACCCTAGAATTCAGTCCACAATTCCCACATGGGCAGCAGGGAACTGTTCACTCCAGTTATCACCTGATGGCTCCCAGGGATGCACGTTCACAGGAAACTGGAAACAGGAGAAGGGCTGGAACTTGAAACCAGGCCCCAGATAAGAATGCAGATTTCCCAACTGGTGGCTTGGCAGCTAGACTAAACATTGACCTCTGATATATTTTTTTGATTTATTTTTATTTATTTGAAGGACAGAGTTACAGAGAGAGGTAGATGTTTCCATCCACTGGTTCACTCCCCGAGATGGCTGCAATGGCTGGAACTGTGCCAATCTGAAGCCAGGAACCAAGAGCTTCTTCCGGGTCTCCCACATGGGTACAGGGACCCAAGGACTTGGGCCATCTTCCACTGCTTTCCCAGGCCATAGCAGAGAGCTGGATCGGAAGAGGAGCAGCTGGGACTAGAACCAGCACCCATATGGGATGCTGGCACTGCAGGCCAGGGTTTTAACCCACTGCGTCACAGCGCAGAATTATTTAATGTAAAAAAAATTATTTAATATAAATGAATGTTCTGTGATATGCACATAAAAATAAAGTATGCTAATATTTATAATTTTGTCACTTACAAAAAATTAAATAGATATGAGAATAATATAATTACACAGAAAATTCCTTAGAAAACTTTTCATTTTGCTTTTATCAACAATAAACCTATGGATTATATTAGTAATACAGGACTTTCATTTTTCCAGGGAATCAACAGTTTCTGTACAGGACAGATTATGACAGCAGCTTTCTTAAGGTAAGACTGGGAGTCACTCACAGTAACATTCTGAGGGAATACACTTATTTTTATATACTTTCAAAAATATTTCTTAAGATTGTCTTGGAGTACCTCAGGTACCTAAATTAATAGCATATATTCATTAGTTTTTTTGTGTACAATTGTTTATTCAACAACACTATTTTCAAAATAAATTGCAGAGGATATAAATTGGAAATTTCTGAGTACACAAATGCATTTTGATACTTTCATTATAACTGGGAATTATTTTAACTACAGAATAATATCAAGTCATAAAGCAAAAATAAAATATAGTAATATAACTAATAGCATTAAGGCATCTTCTAGAACATGTGTGCATGGGGAAACTAACACACATACACAGAGGTTTTGCCTTCCTTCTCGAATATAAATATTTTGCACCATTTTAATTATCATGAGCCTTCTACAGTCTTATGTTGTTATGGGTATTTGTGGTATCTTCTTTCTTCTCCCAAAACTTAGAAATTTTATATTGAATCATAAGTCAGTTAAGTTATATTTACTCACTTTCACCTACCATTTTCTCTTTTCAGAACTTCTACCTTATTAAATTGCTAAAAGCATATTCTTTAGAATTTTCTTTATTGAGAATGTCTCACTTTGAATATATTTGCATTTTGCTCTCATTCTTGAAGAATATTTTTTCTGACTAAATTGTTGATAATTTTTCTTCTACCATTCAACAGTTTTATTTTTTAAGATTTATTTATTTGAAAGGCATAGCAACATAAAGAAAGAGGTAAAGAAAGATAGCCTCCATCTGCTGATTTTTTTCTCCCCACATGGCTGCAACATCCAGGTCTGAGCCAGGCAGCAGCCAGAAGCCACGAATTTGATCCTGGTCTCCCACATGGGTGCCAGGGGCCCAAGTATTGGGTCTATCTTCTGCTGCCATCCTGGGTACATTTTCAGTGAGCTGGATCAGAAGCAGAGAAGTCAAGATTTAACTCAAATGATGGGGCTGGCTCTGTGATATAGCTGATGAAGCCACCACCTGAAACTGGCATCCCATATGGGCACTGATTCAAAGCTCGGCTGTTCCACTTCCCATCCAGCTGCCTGCTATCTGCACCTGGGAAAGTGGAGGAAGATGACCCAAGTGCTTGGGCCCCTTCACACATGTGGGGAATCTGGATCTGGAAGCTCCTGTCTTTGGACCAGACCAGCTCTAGCTGTTGTGGCCATTTGGGGATTGAACCAACAGATGGAAGATATTTCTCTCTCTCTCTCTCTCTCTCTCTCTCTCTCTGTATTTCTGCCTTTCAAATAAATAAAGAAAGAAATAGCCCAGCTTTCAGTCTAGTTTTATATCTATATGGGTAATTTGCTATTTCTGCTTTGCTGCCTTGGGAATCTTCTCTTGTTCTTTGGTGTCCTGAAACTGGTTATCACATGATCAAGTATATTTTCATGTATTCAGCTTTGTATTTTTGAACTCTCTGAATCTGCAGATAGGTATTTTCAGCAATTCTGGAATGCTTCAATCATTAAATCTTTTAAAGTGATCTCTGTCTTCTGTGTTTCTTATTTTTATGTCATTTTATTGTTGCTTATTTCTCAAGTCAACATTCAATCCACTGATTTTATTTGCATTATAGACTTACCGGTCTTTATTTTTTAAATTTTTATCATGTTTATGTTAAGAAATTCCGTTTCTGTTTTTTACCGATGTAGTGGTCTCATCTTCCCTGTTCATACATCCAATCCAAGCCTCTATTGTATTTATGGTCCATTCTCTGTTTTCCTTCATGGTTTCAGTCACAGAGCCTTAGTTTTCTTATGTGTAGCTTTTTTGTTTTTAGCTTCTTTCTTTTCTTTGTTTTATGTGTGATCTCACATGTGCAGAATGTTATCTATGAAAGTTCTTTGAGCCCAGATTTGAAGTTCTATTCTTGAAGTTTTTTTCCTCTATTAGTCACACATACACGTACACACACACACACACAGAGGCAGATGTATATATCTAAAAGATATATTTATTGTGTTTAAAGGCAGAGTTAGAGAGAGAGGGATAGACAGCGTTCTTTCACCTACCAGATCACTCACCAAATGGCCACAGTGTCTACAGCCGGAAGCTTCAGCTGGGACTCTCATGTGGGTGGCAGGGGCCCAAGCACTTGAGCTCCTTTCACAACTTTCTCACATGCATTAAATGGGAGCTGGATCAGAAGTGAAGTAGCCAAGACTCAAACAGGTGCCCATATGGGATGCCTGTGTCTCAGGTGTCCACTTAACCTGCTACACCATAACATTGTCCCCATCTACCAGCCACTTTTAAACTGCATGATTTGCTTTAGATTTTTCACCAAATATCATGAATTCATTCAAATAAGGTTATAATAAAGATTCATTTGATTTTATGATTCTTAGGGGTTTTTTGGTTTGTTTTCTCAAGGCAGCACTATGGAAAAAATTGCATATTTCCTTTCAGATCCTATTGACCTGCAAGATTTATTTCTATTTTAGCAGATAAAAATATCTTTTGCTATAGTTCCACTATTCTTGAGGTTTATCTCCTGCATTCTGCTTCTCATGAAGTAGTCAAAATGGAAACTCAAGCATTTGAACATTTGGTGGAAATTTGAAAGCTGCATTTGGTGAACTCTCTCATGGCTGCTGTCTTAATTTGATCTTAGTCTTCAGATGTCCTTCTGTCATGCCAGATCAAAGAGTGTTATAAAGCACCTACATATGTGTGTATGCTTAATTGCACCTTAACTGTTTTTATTTTTTTTTTTTTTCATTGGGAAGTTTACTCTGGCTATACAGATTCAATGGGTTGACTTGAAGCAGAAAATCAAGGGTTAGGAGTTTCTGCAGATACTAATACTTGATTTTTCCCATTTTACAGACAGTGTAAATGGTTATATTTTTCTCTTTGGACTCAGTAACTGACACCTGATAAAACAGTTTTCGACATTTACCTACTTATACAGCTCTCTGATGCTTTGCTTCCGTAATTATGATATGTTTGTTACTTCTTTATCTTCCCTGAAGCTAACTATTTATCACATTAGTCTTTCTAAACCATTAAGCCCTTACAGCAGAGAAAATGGGTATGAGCTTTGTCTGGCGCTGCCTTTGAAGTAAATTTTAAAAACATATAGATGTAGTTTGTGTTCCCCTTCTAATATGTTAGGTTCCTTAAACCTACATTATGGATTTTACTGCCTTTGAGATTCTTATATTTAGCATCAGTACATAATATATAATTAAGGGGGCAATTCACAAAATGCCCATTCAGGCTCTCTATTGAGTTTACCCCTTACAGAATTTGGAATGTGGAACCAAAATTGGATAGCACATCTACAAAAATCTTTTCTTGTCTTTACTTATGTAAAAGGTGGGGCATCTACCAGCATTTTCTGGAATAAGCATTTCAAACATTTGTGTTAACTAAGTTTGGATGCTGGTACTTTCATACTGGTTTAAATAAGTGAGATTTATTTGTAGAAAAAGTATTACAGTATTCATATGCTAGTATTTTTAATATAAAATTCCATTTGGTTTTAGTTTACAGTGCTACACATGCTATTTTCCCATTTTTTCAAAAAGGCAAAGTGAAAGTTCCATTAAAATATTCAATTCATAAAGATTTCAAATATAAACTTGAATTTATGAGTACTGAGTTCATTTTCATAAGGTGTTTTGTTTTTTAATTTTTCCCAATAGGCTGTTTTTCCCAAATATTTGTCATGTACTTGATCCATTTCAAGGAGCTGAACTCTTTGCATTGCTTACTTTCAATATTTCCACTACTCCTGATACCCAATGGCTAAGCCAAAGAGTTAATAGTGACATATTAAGCAAAAGAAACTATTTTACTCAGATAAAATTGAATTTATCAACTTAAATGAGATATTTTAGGAAGCTTTTATGCATCACAGGATGCAATATCAGGCCACAGAAAATTCTAACTTTTCATAATCCTTTCATCACAGGAGATATATGATCCCATTTCACCTGCCTGTCATATGGACTCCTTGAGCATGGAGTCGATATTTTCTAACTTTTTGATCCATTTGTTTACAAAAAATTACAGTACTAAGTCAGTTTTGGTTCAAAATTCCTTAGTTATGAACTAAGTATGATGAAACTTCTAAGCATCATTACCAAAGCCATGATAGAATTCTTCAGCCATTAGTTTAATAATAAATTTGGCAAAATCTAGAATGATCACTGACAGTTAAAGTCCTCAACTCTCTATGCTGCATAAAAATTATTGTTTAATATAAAATTTAATAAAGTATTTGCTTATAAAATAAATGAATACTAATATTTCTACATGTGTGTTGAAAATGCTAATATTAGCCCAGTTGGTTGTAAAATAAGATTGACGTGAATATAAGCACAGCTACCAGGTTCTAAATCATTAAAATTGCACAGTATGTTGTGGTATTATGTTAAGAGAAACAAAGTATAATTGTTTTTCTTTAGGAATATCTGCTATTCTCAGAATGTAGAAACGTTGCAGAATGAAAAAAATCACCAGTTCTCAAACTTTATTCTCAGGATCCCTTCACTTTTTAAAGTGTATTAAGGACTCCAAAGAGATTTGTTCATATATTTTCTCTAATGATATTTATAGTATTGTAAATTATAATTCACTTTTTAAAACATAATTTTCTTTTAACATTAACAATATACTTAGTATTTGTATCATATGAGGTATATTTTTACAAATAATTTAATTTTCAAAACAAAAATCAACATGAAAGGAAGGAGGCATTGCATTGTTTGCTAACTTCTTTAATGTCTGACTCAATAGAAGAGTCTTGGAGGCTCAGATCTACTTCTGTACTCATTCTGTTTGGGTTTTAAACATCACATTGCCTATGGAAATTTTCACTGTACATTCTTGACAGGAAAACTGCAAGACAAATCATGTCTTAGTATCATTAGGAAAGTAATTATTACACTGTAGTTCTGAGAATCCCCAAGAGACCCCAGGAGACACGCCCCCAACACAGTTTAAA